AATTTTACTAATGATTTCTTATTCAAAATAAAATTATCTGAATAGAGAATTTCGATAAATAAAAAATAAATCGAAACTTTATGATAGTCATTTCTCTTTCAATGAACATTTTTGTTATTGCTTTTCATAGAATCTGAATTTTCAAAGAAGCACATATATCATGATACTGCATCAATACGTAAAGAAATATTTCACCGAAAAACAAGTCACAACGCATAATTATGAAATTACTTACCTGTTTCAAATGATGTATGTAATTAATAAGAATCAAGAAAAAAAAATGGTTGTATATAAAAATATATGTGTTTTATCGACAAGAAAGCAGTCAACCATCATATTATTATTCATTTTATAAAACTATCTAACTAGTTTATGTAGACACATGTACACACTAGAAGTGAAAAGAAAAAGGTAATCGATGGTCTGGAAGTGATAACATTTATTTACATTTTTTATATAATTCGTTCTTCATTACCGCTATCAGAAAAATATCAATTTATTTTTTAGAATCTTTTTACTAGTTAATATTTTCATAATATATTCCTAATTATTGATACCTTGAAACGAAAGTTATGCCAAGTTTACATGCCTGTAAGACCATAAAATCCAATTTATTGATGTTTTTTTTCTATTTCAACTGTCTATATAATTGATACTGTATATATTCAGATATTTTAATAAAGGTCTCATATAAGTTTTGATTGACAAAACTTTAAAATGACAGTCATATATAGATCAAACAACTAAAAATGTTCCTTTTCATTGATTGATTGTCTAAATAGCGTATGGGTGTGGGTGTGAGTGTAAGTGTGAGTGTGGGTGTGGGGTGTTTGTGTGAATGTGCATGTTTGGGTGTGCGTGTACGTGTGTGGGTGGGTGTGAGTGTGAGTGTAGGGGGTTGGTCTTCTGTTCACTTAAACCCCACACCTACACCCACACCCATCCACACCGACACCACACCGACACCACACCGACACTCATACCCACACCCACCCCACACCAACACCCACATCCACACCCACACCCATACCCACACCCATACCTACACCCACACACCCATCCCACACTTACACCCACACCCCCAGCCACCCATACCCACATCCACACTTACACCCACACACTCACACCCTCACCCACCCCACACCCACCCGTCACCCACACCCACACCCACACCCACACCCACACCCACACCCACATCCTAATATAAGCTAGACATCATTCGATGCAGAATTAAATTCTCTACAAAATGATGTATTGCTTATCTTCGGGCAATAGATCGTTCGCTGAGCAAATAATTTTTTTTCAAATGTTTTTGCAATTTTTTTTATGACTCATGTCATAATTGGAGGGATATCACCCCGATGGAAATGGATTCTTAATATAAGCTATACATCATTGGATGCAGAATTAAATTCTGTACAAAATGATGTGTAGCTTATCATCGGGCAATGGATGGTTGCCTCAAAAATTAAACGTTTTTTGAAAATCGGCCGTGGTGGCTTCACATGAATGGATCGCTGTAGTGGATGGTGGTAATTTTTTTTTTTTGTTGGAGTTGATGAGAATTTTGTTTTTTTTATAAAGTTTCTATGATATATTTTGAAGAGATCATCGGATTTTGTCGTTTGTTAGGAAAAAACGTGTGGTTGCTAAGGAAGTTTTCGGTGGTAATATATGGAGTAGGGATGGTAAAATATGCTCGAGCGCTGATTGGTCGAGTTTAAGATCGATCCGAATTGGTCGTCGTGCTAGCTTCACATCGATGACTTACTGCAGGAGACCTGTAGGTGATAACTAAAATCAAATGGTAGCATATTTGAGTAGTAAAGAGCCAAATCAGTCCATGGTATTTTCGATTTAAAACTGAAATGAAGAATAGATATTCACAAATAGTTTTCAATAGTAGGGTAGAATCAATGAAACTTTCTTTCAATTGAGATATGCAACTATTTTATTTCTCAATGCAAACATTGTGATTAAATTCACCGATGTCAAACGAGCTTGAATATTAGCGCACTGTGATGATATTCTTTGAAAATCAATCAGAAATCCACTACACAGATAATTCGTTGCCAGTCATTTCGACTTCGGTTTATTTGTTTTAATAATCTTATTCAATACAACATACAACTCAGTCTTCGAAATAATAAATAAACGTCTATATCAATAATAAAATATAGAATTGTATTGAAATTGAATTGCGTTTGAAATACTAAGGTCTAGGAAAGAAATTCAACAAATGGATAAACTTGTTTTATTAGTTTTTGGCTTTCCTAGACTAACAACATCTCAGCTAATAGAGTATAGGAATAGCCAAAATTTTCACATCTGAAATGAAAATAAAGCTAAGCTCTAAACAGAATATTCGACAACATTTCCTGCTCTACACTTTCTTTTATTTTTATTTCAAACTTCGAAACATGCACTAATGCAAAATGAGCACCATCAATTGCTAAAAATCAGATTAGAGAAGTCTTTTTATTATTGCTCTATATCAAAATTCTATATCAACAAACTGAATTTTAAGGTTTACAATTTTTGGTTTACTTTATTTCGTAGATTTTTTTCTGCAAATTCAATTCATTTTCAATTCAATTGTACGTTTTGTTGTTGTGATCGAAGATTGTTTCTTATTCCGAAGATTGAATCGCGTGTTGCATTGAGTAAGAAGCCAAAAAGAAGCATTTCTTTCAATTTCATTATTTTTTCCTTTTGCTTTGGTGCGATGAATTTGTTTACTCTGAATAGACCAGCAACGAAATGAGTTGCAACGAATTATTTTGCACCTAATTGATCTAACAATATATTTTCTAGCTTCTGAAAGAAAAGACTCTTTTGTAGTTTTTGGGATTTGTGACCTGGACATCTGAAAATTATACTGATAAATAACTTTAAAAACGGCGCAAACCACTTCAACATTTTTCATCCATACCAACTAGAGGTGTTAATTTGTCTTTATTTTGAAAAAAAACGACAAAGATTTCTGTTAGCGGTAGATTCGGTTCATTTCTATCCTTCGATGCTTTCGTTTCTTTTTTTTCTTTGTTTGTTATATAGTCACTTCTTTTCCTTTCTTTTTTTGTGATGTTATTAAGTATATGTACATGAAGGACATTTTATATACCAGGTGTACCAAAAGTTTTGCGAAATTTGGTGTTTTTCATATATCTCAGTTCAGAAAAAAGATAAAATCTTGAATTTAGTTCTAAAAAATGTGCTATTCAATTCTCTACAAAAATGTATTTACCTTAATTTAAAATAATAGAACTGAAAGTTATTATGGGTCGAATAATGTGCTTATATGACTTGCATCTATGTTCCATGGCTGGTTTTACTTCATTTTTTCTGACTTTCTTCTCTTGTAAACAGGGGCTTAAAAACCTAATTATTAGCAATACGATTACATATCATTGCTCTTTCAGAGTAATTTGTCTGTGTTCAATTATAATTTGTTTTTGTGTAATAAAGGTGGCCTGTTTGATATGCTACTGTAAAAACAGTATTGCATTCGATGTTCAGAGTTCTCGTGAAACTGAATGGCTTTGACAAATGTCTTTTGACCTTCAAGTAGAAAGAGCAGTTTATTTTCTGCAAAATATTGCAAAAGTGAACTCGGTTTCACTGTGGATCAAATTCTTAAGAGATTTTTTTCGGAAACGGGTAATCGAGAGAAAATTTTGCGATTTTCGAACTATTGCTGTGCAAAAAAATTCAAAGAATGAATGTTGAATATATAAGCAATGGACCGGATCTTTCAAGCGCTATCTGGCAAACTGTTATTTGTAAAAGCAAAACATTCCTTCCCACAGAAGGAACAACTTATAAAAAAAGTGTGGGACATAGATGCAAGTCATATAAGCACACTATTCGACCCATAATAACTTTCAGTTCCATTATTTTAAATTAAGGTAAATACATTTTTGTAGAGAATTGAATTGCGCATATTTCAAAACTAAATTCAAGATTTAACCTTTTTTCTGAATTGAGAGGGTGGGTGTGGGTTTCAGCTTTCTCTCTTACTACACCCACACCCACACCCGCTCTATAAAGAGAAATATTCTGTTGAAACTCTGCCTAAGCAAACATCTACCTAGTACGAATAATTTCATTCAGGTTTGAAATGTTATTTGGTAAGAAACGAATGAATGTGATAACAACCTACCAATAACTAATCTATTGATATTTCCTCGTGATTTTGTGGTTTGACAAAAGTCATGGTAACTCTGTGAGTTTGTTGAACATATTACTTTAGTCGAAATAGTTTGAGACATATTTTAGAATATGAAAAAGAAGCAGAGGTTTCATTTGATTTTTTGCACGAAGTAACTATTTTACATTAGTAGTATCCTTTTTGTTCTTCTATAGCATTGAATATTGACATAGGAATCTTATTTTATTTGTAGGGCATTATTTTCCAATTTATTGTACACAGATATTATCTCAAATTTGAAAAGCTAAATCAGTTCTGAGCAAACTTCAAATGAACTAGTATTGCAAACTATGATCACTATTTATGATAAAAATATGAGACTTTCTTCTTTAACATATACTCATCAATATAAAAATCCTTGTAGATTCGAATCTATCCACAGTATTAACTAATTCTTCAATAATATTTTTGATAAAAACCAAATGACGAAAGATGTCACTAAGATTTGATTTTTTTTTGACAAATCTTCTCTTTATATAAGTGAAATCAATTGAATTTTATTTGATCATTACTCTTATCAAACAGAATTGTACATTTCTAATATTGTCCACGATGCTATTGAAAATATCTTGACAAATAACAACCCTTGGAAAAAATCCAACAAATGTATGACTAACTCCGAACAGTGAAAGAACAAGGCAACATTCATACAGATGAGTAATGCGTCGAGTTCGAATTTATAATTACATTTCTTTTTTTTTCTTTTTTCTTTTACTTTTTTGCTTAAATTATAAATATAAAGTATAGTGAGAGCAGAGTTGAATATATAGTGATAGTTACGTTGCAATCAATGACAGATACATCTCAACTCGTTGATCCAAAACAAGAATCTATTTATACATTTCATTTTCGCCATTCTAATAAACATGTGGATCTTACTGAAGAAGAACTCGATCGTTTTCCTTATTTGATTGCTCTCGTCGCACATAAAAATGATTTCTTATCCATTGAAAATGAAAATGGTGAATATGTATTGAGTCATCCTATTGAATATCCTTGGTTTATTTCTATTCTTCGTTCAATTAGGTCCGAACACCCATATAAATTATTTAACGAACTATCTGAAGACAATAATGTGTTGGACACATTTCAACTCTTTGATTATCTTGGTATCAATCCATTTCCGTTACCTCTTCTAAAATACGAAGAATTAATCCGATCAAATCCTACAAATACTGACAATGATGAAAAACATCTTGAATATCATCAAGCAAATCTGTCAGAAGCACGACAAACAGCTGCAGAGTTCATCATAGCTCTTACTAAAGATGAATATGATTTACGTAATTCATACACTATCAAACGTATTTTCTCATTGATCCGAGTCATTCTCACTAATCCAGCTGTTTTTAGCTCACGATTTCGTCACCATACATTAATAGTGGTGAAAGAATCTTGTTATTCGTTCTTTTCTAAGACTCAACGACGTCTATTGCCTACTATTCAACAAATTGATCAACATAGGAAGATCGACGTCCTTATTTATCTATACGACGATGATAAACCTCTTCCTGACGATTTTCAAAATACATTCGCTTGGAGAGGTGTTTATCTGACAATAGAAGAGAATCCTATGGAGTCTTTATATGAAAATCCCGCAAAGACATCTTTTTCCAGTGGATCTTCTCAAAGAACACATGCTCATTTTCATATAAACTATAAGATTTCTGATTTGACGATGATAAAGCATAATATAGATTATCTCCTATCTATTTATGACCTGCCAGAAGTTTCTATAATTGAAAATGTTGACGATGAAGAGTTGCCCATCTATCCATCGAAACAAAATCGAAAGAACAATGAAGCACAACTAGCTCGATCACAACATTTTAACACATTATCTAAACGACCAAACAGTGACAAATTCAAACATCGATGTGCTCCAAAAGCTCAAAAATATCGATAAAAACTTTTTTCAAAGGAAATATTTTGTTTTTTTTATTGAATAAATATAATTCACGAGAAATATTTTAGAGCCTTTTTTGCACTGACTTACAATTTTCAAAATAAGACTTGTTACAAAAATAAATCAAAAGATTTCTTACTCTTCAATAGTATGCCATTTCGAAAATCATTAACTTAGATAACATTTAATATGTACAGATGTGTCTTCAAAAGCAAGAATATGATGCTACTTAAAAAAAAATATATCTTAATAAAAGGTCGATTCCTCAGAGGGTGTGGATGTGGATGAAAGCTTTTCACGTTAGCTAACATCCACACCCAACCTACATATTTTATTGGAAAAGACAAGAAATTCCATGCTTAGAAAATGTTGTCCCATTCCATTCGAAGTTCTGAGTATTATATTGTAATGTTTAACACCGTACTTTGTTGTCAGTATTTTTTAAATAAAACTGGCTAAAACATGATAAGCGTATTGTGTTATTCGCTTGCTAGTTGAGAAATTCTTCGGCATTTTTTATTCTTATTTGTATTTGTTATTTTCTTCTTAAATTTAAAAAAAAGTCGATGTTAATGAGCACAATTATAGTATTTTATCCAAGTAGATTTGGCAATAAAATCATGAATATTTAAGTAGCTAAAATGTCGAAAAGTGTAAATCCTTAGTGAAAGGTTTTTTCTAAAATTTGAACAATGGAATATAATACAGTACGTAGCACACAGCACAAGAGTGAGTGTAAAGTTGAAATATATGATCGAAAGGGATTTAGATTTTTAACGTTTGCACATTCGATATTTAGGTGTCAAACCTCGGGAATTCGGAATGTAACTTGTGCAAGTATGTACTTATGAAAGTTTAGTGATATCAGATCCTCTTGTTTTCAATTTATCATATGATATTTTTAAAAATTTTCTTATTCTCTCTTTTTTTTTGTGACAAAATGTTATCTTTGCACATTCTTTTCTGTTGAAGAAAGAAACAAAAAGAAACCAACGATTCGAAAGTACAGCATATTACGTCTATTTGCTTGCTGATAAATAAAATAATCGGGTAGCATTTATGATTCATTTAGAAAACATTTTTTTTCCGATTCTAGTAATAGAACAGATTATTTAGTAGATATGACAGGCAGCAGTAATACTAATACTAATGTTCCTGGTGAAATCGTGCCTGATGGTGGTTGGGGATGGGTTATTGTTTTTTCATCTTTTATGATTCATTTTATTATGGATGGGTAAGTGATTTGATTCTGACTTTTACTGAAATATATAAATATATAACCTTCGAACAGAATTACCTATGCCATGGCCGAAATATATTTGGAACCAATGTTGGAAAAATTTCAACTTAATCGAGGCTATGTATCAGCTATCTTTTCAATTTTGCCAGCCGTTACTTTAGGAGCAGGTTAAGCATTTCTTTTTCATAAGAGTTATACTTTCGAACAATTTTTTTTAGGTCCAATAGCAACAGTTTTCACCAATATGTATGGATGTCGAATAGTTACCATAGTCGGTGCTTGTCTAGCGTCATTGGGATTCTTTCTTAGTCGATGGTGGGTGAATATTTATTATTACTACATCACAATTGGTATAACTGGAGGTATATTCATTATATTTTCAATAATTTTCACTGAAATTTCACTTTATTCAGGTATTGGTTTTGGACTAATTTATGCACCCGCCCTTATCTCTGTTGGATATTATTTCGAACGAAAACGTTCATTAGCTATGGGTATTGCTGTAAGCGGATCAGGGTTTGGTACAGTTATTTTTCCTCCAATAATGCACTGGGTGATCAATTCACTTTTTCGGAAAGATTACAAACCTGCCCTTCTAGTCAAATCAGCCATAATCTTCATATGTGTCATATTTGGATGGCTGATAGTATCTTGTTCATTCTGTTTTTTCTTTAATTGATGAGTACATCGATTTTGTATAGATTCCTCTGCCACAAGAACACAGTGAACAACGGCGCGCCCAACTAAGATTACGTAAAGAAGCAAAACAACAAGCAGCTAGAGTTGTAGAACAAGCTGCTAATACCGATCATCAACAAACTAAACTGTTGACAAATCGAGAAAGACTTGACAAGTAAATCTCACAAGAAACATATTTCGTTTTATGTTTGAATCAATCAATTATTCGTAGTTTTTAGAAGTATTTCTAGTATATTACTTCAGAGAAACTGCTTTGAGAGATATATGCTGGTAAACATTGAAAATGGTACATGTTATCATGTGAGTTGTACATGTATTTTTTATCGAATGATATTTCGATAGAAATCTTGAAAAGAAACTTCTCTATGTATTGATATTTTTGAAAGAAAAAAAGAGCAATATTAGTTGATGCAGATATTAGAATCTCTGTCTATTTATTGGAACCATCAAATATGACATTTACAGACGAGTTGATTTTCTTTTTGATCTTGTATCGAGTTGACTCAATATTTATATTGTTCGATAAACGATATCTTTTGATATTTATACAATTACTAATAGTTAGTTCTGTCAAGATTGCGGGTATCTGATTCGATAATTTTTAGTAAACGCTATGCCTAAATAAAATGAACATTCAATATATCGATTTGTTTTTAATGACAAATCGATCGATTCTTTTAATAGACGAGCATATCGAAAATCGTTTTTATTTCATAGGAAATATCATTTAGCTTGTTTCTAGAGAATCGGCATTCAAATACATAAAGATCTAATCCTTTATATGTTATAAGAAGAATCTATCAATGTCTGTTTGCGCTGTAAAATGTCTAGCTATTTAATAAGTATAACATATACAGTAAAACCTCCCATAGATGGGCACCTTCGGGACTATTTGAAATCGCCCACCTTACGGAGGTGCCCGCGTTATAAAGTTTTGTGTATAGATATCGATCAGTAATGTTTCCGTCAGCTGCACCATAAAGGGCACCTATACTTATGTATTATTAAGTGACCTTTATATCTTTGAGTGTATCCAATATTTTATTCTAAATTTTTTGATATCGTATTTGATCTAAGTTTATTTTCTATTTTAGTATTTACAATCAAGCTTTTGGAAAGAAATCCATAGTAGAACTTTGCTTGCTAGTTTTTGGATCAATGTAAACATCAGTCAGTTTCGATTCTAAATCAGTGACGAGTTGGTGAAATTGTGGTTGATGTGTTTGCATTTGATTAGAAATCGTACTTGTATTCATCTTTTCGTTGAAGAATATTATAACAGTACCCTTTGACACCTTGTACTACCCACATAATTTGCGTTGCGATAGTCCAGTGCCATCAGCATAGTCGTTGATCAATGCGATCTTCTCATCGAGCGTGAGCTAATGATATATTGTCATTTATTAATGATATTGAAGAGTAATGTCAAATAACATGACAATTTATACTCTTGTTCTCATTGATAGAATAGTGAAAAATGTATCGACGAGTAGTTTTCTTTTTTACATTGGACTAACTTTTCTCTCTCTCTCTTTCCTCGAACAATAAAGCACGACGAGCAAAAGAACAATGTTGAAGAAAATATTCATTATACCTGCCCATGTAAGAGAGGTGTAAAAGTACAGTATGGTCTAAAAGTCAGTGCCCTTCTTACAGAGGTTCATTTACAGCAAAAATCGATCGGTCGTTCCGACATGTGCCCATATAAGCGAGATGCCCTTATTATAGAGGTGCCCATATATAGAGGTTTCACTGTATATCAGAAGAAAATTTGCTCTATCGATGATTGCACTAGGGAGAATCTGATAGCTTCATCTGACACGAATGAGTTCTTTCAGAGATATTAATTTTGAGAGTGTAGTTACTCTGTTATATTCCAATTATCTAATAATACGAGACTTATCAGTAAATTTTCATACTGAAGAGAACGGTAAAAATCAGAATAGAGTTTTCTTTATTACTATAGATGCTATGAACAGTAGACTATCATTTCATGCTAATGAAAGTATCTTCTTGTTTGATATTTTTCGATTGATGTTATATGCTAGTTCTAGAGAACAAGTTTCTGAGTGTACAGCAGTTAGATAAAGTCATCAAAAAAAAAAGGAGAGCTTCCAAGTAGTCTTGTTTGAAATAGTACATAATAATGCACTAGATATGTTTTTCGAAAAATTTTCTCATATTGAACTTTAATACTGAGAACTTGTCGAACAAGTGCGAATATCGGGTTCACACTTTTCAAATGACAATCTATGATGAGAAATCTTTAAATGTAGAGTTTCATCTGGTTTGAACTTATGTATGAAAAATGACGACATATTAATTATTTTGACCTGTAGTTCACCCTATATCTATGTTCGTTCATGTTTTCTGAGAGAATGTTTCTTGATGAAAAACCATTTTCAAATGGCAGCTTTATCCATCATATAGCTCCCAATGAACCGTGATAGTCTTTAAAAGAATTTTTACGGTTCATAGTATCTGTAATCCCAGAAAAAAATGTTATTTAACTTTTATCGCTCTAGTGGAAATAAAAAAAAAAGTTACTAAAAGGTAGTATACTATGAGATTTTTGAAAGTCAATAGAGTAGTTATATTTGCCACATATATGTATGCACAGAACAGTTCATTTAGTTGTGGCTTATTTTGGAATGTTACTTTAAGAGATTCAGCAATACAAAAGTAATTCTTTCTGTTCGAACTTTTCTGAATTGCAGTACCAACAAAATAGATATAGTTTTAGTTGTTTTAACAATTTTCTTATTGTTTAGTGTACCTATACAGGAAGGGAATGTGACTTTGTCAGTATCAGATAATGTTGCTCAAAATAAGCAATCAGGTGTATCTGATAGTCAATTTCAAAAATTGCTTTCGGAACATAATGTTCCATCTACTTTATGCGATGATAGCGATGCAAAAAGTGACAAATTATTATCTCCAACTGCTCCAGTAACAATACGAAAAGATGCTATGTATCAAGGAAGTCTTGATCATATACCTTTATTCAATGATGATATTAATGAATATCATCGACAAATAATCACTACACTTGATGGAACAAACCAACCAGCGCACACTACTGATGATGTTAATTTGAAAAGTATTCCCAATCGAAGTCATGTAAAAGTGAAATCCTTTGTAAGTCAAGTTAAAGATCAATTCGATTTGAAACTTCTTGCTGATGCAGCATTTGTACTATTTACTATATCAAACTTTTTGACAAGTCTGGGTTTCAATGTACCATATAATTTTGCTCATGATCTTGCAAAAGATGCAAAAGTTACGGAAAGTCATAGAGAATATGTTATCATGTCTATTGGTTTATCGAATGCTGTCGGTCGTATCATCATTGGCTACTTAGGAGATCGCAAAAAAGTATAAATAAATTGAAGCTCTTAATAATAGATTGTATAATTTTTTCTTTTCTCAGATCAATCGTCTTTTCTTATATAACTCAACATTAATCATGGCTGGATTAGCTACAGTGATTGCTCCATATTGTAATTCTAATGTATTTACTCATATTATTTATGCTTCAATTTTTGGTTTCTTCTCTGGCGGTTATGTGGGTTTGACAACGATCATAATTACAGATTTAGTGGGAATAGACAAATTATCAAGTGCATTAGGTATTGTTCTACTCTGTCAAGGTATAGCAGTTGCGATAGGCACTCCAATCACTGGTATACTATTGTATCTTGCATTGTTGAATATTGATTTGTTCGTTATATTTAAGGAGCAATGCGTGATGCATTTGAAAAACATTCTCGTCCATTTCTTTGGCCTTATTTTACTTTTGGTAGTTTCATAGTTATAAGTGGTGTCATCCTATTCGGTATTCCTCTATTGAAACGAAGACAACAATGTCGTCAACATTTAACTAGAAATGAGTTGGACATGGGTGTTGTATCTTATTCAGACGGAAATTCCATTTCTCAGGAACAGCAACAACAACAACTTTAAGTTGTTCTTCCTAGAAAATTTAATCAAGATAAAAAGAATTAACCACATATTCGTAAACAAAACAAATATTCTTATTACTCCTGAATTCGCTTGATTTTCATTATACATTTATCAAATATGTTAGAACATCACATGAGAATGTTTTTTTATTAGTCACATTTATTTATAACCTTTTTCAATATGAAGAGTAATAGGATTTGAAATATTTTCTTTAATACTTCATCTTATCGAAATAAATATTGAATGGGTGAAGGTGACTATCAACACTCAAAATTTTGAACATTGTTTATCTGTGAACAATGGAAGCTTCTGCTTTCTATAGTGGTTGAAAGTTGCCAAAGCATATATAAAAGCTTGCTATCTATCTATCTCTATATATATATAGTATCTTTTTATTACTTTAAATCTCACTAGGAACATTATAAATTATGTTGTTTTAGTGAGCGTCATTAAGAAAAAGAGATTTCCGGCAAATTCATTTTATTTTGTCAGCGGTTAAGTACTAGTTTATAGAAATATTTTGCAACATGAAAATTTAATTGCATAAATTTCTCTTTCTTCAAAGTCAAATAGTTTGAACTATGGATCAAAGTCAAAATCTGGATTCTGTAGGTAGCATGTATGTCGCTTTTCCTTTTTTAGCGTTCATCAATCACGATACTATGTTGGATAAATTTCACTATTTCAAATATATTCGATGCAAATCAATGATACTATTTTATATCTGGTTATATTTTAGCAATTATAAGAATAGTTGGGTGTTCAAACTGATAATTCTTCACTCTTAGGTATTGCAAAGCTTTTAAGATGATAGATCAGCAATCGCTTATTTGGTTTGAATAACTGAATACACCATAGATTTAATGATGATTTAGAATTCTGTTTTGCATGACCTTATCAAAAATGTGAAAAAATGATTTGAAAATGAGATCTATTGTAAATAAATACTGATCATTTGTAAGTTAATATTAAATTGAATTCATACGATAGTCTGATTTCAACAGTCATACATGTAATGTTAATTTGATCTCTGTCATCTCGATGACTTTATCGAAGTACTTACAGTTTTCATCTTCAACTCATCATTTTTAATAAAAATAATAGATAGATTACAGCTTATTTTGAATGAAGCAGAGTATTTAACGCATTATCTGATAATATTGCAGTAGCTGGTTTGAAAAATGAAAGAATATGAAATTGTTACCTCATACATTGAAAATACACATCTTAACTTTTCATTTGAGATTGAAAGACTATTCTATGATTGGTATTCAAACGAAATGTCTATTTTCAAATTATATTTTTTAAAAAATCAAAATACAATTAAAAATTGACAATATAGATTGAGTTAGGTAACAAGCACAAATATTCATTTCTATAAGATCTTAGAATTTATAGAGAATAACCAACGAAAAGCAATTATAGTCATATCGGAATATAGAAACTATGTGTGAGAATAAAAAACGGTCTTGTTTGATCAATATATGATGGATAATTAATACTTTGAAATGTAATTCTTTTTCTTTCATTAGTATTTGAGAATAGCACATTTTGATTTTCTTTTTGTGACATTTAAAATCCTTAACTAACAATATTGATCGGAAGACTAACTTTGCAAACAAATTGAGCATAATCATGCCACTTAATTTATACTATATGTTTACAAATTTTACTCACTTATATTCATCTAAATATTGAATAAATATACAACAACACTATAGAAGTTTTATAATACTTCCAAAAAATTCCAAATAGAAGCGATCACGATAACCAGAATCATGCTTTAGTATCATTTCGATACGATGCTTATTTCACCAGCAGTGTCCAAGAACTGAGAAATAGGAATCCCTAAACTGACGGGGAACTATCAGCAGAGCGATGATAATTTCCGAGGGAATTGGAGATTGATCCTCAATTCCCTCTCACAATGGAGGTGTTTGTACTGTTCGTGAGAAAAATGACACATATTCGGGTCAAATGAAAGCTCTCACCGCCAAACTAGCAAGGTCAAAATATTAGCTGGCATTGGGTTGTCTAGAAGGAGATATTTAAATTTTAAAGGACGCGTGCCATTAAGGCATGTTTTCAGCCCAAAAAACTACGATCTAAGCCATACATATTCGGAATCAGCATCAAATTCTGAGTAGAATAGCGTTTCAAAAATGTTCAAAATCGAAAAAAACATTTTTTCGAAAAATGTGGTCCTTGAGGTAGGGTAGGAGGAAGTGTGGGTGGGTGTGGGTGTGGGTGTGGATGTAGATGAAGCGAAGATCCACATCCAGCGACACCCGATAAAACCTATCAAGCAATATGTTCATTTATTATCTTATTTGTTGAGGTTTAATTATAAATAGAAAACTTTTAGATAGATGTGGCTGGTAATTGGTGATGATCATCCTGCATTTTCAAGCCAAGCACTCGATAAAATTACGGATTATCTAAGCATTCGTTAATATCAATTAGGAAAGTTCATGTGAACGATGAGTAGCACCCGATCTAGTTTGACGATTGTAGTGCCATATGGATTATTATATGTTTCGTTTTCGACACCTCTAGTTTGATTTCTAACATTGATCTAAAAAAAAAGTGGTAAAACAACAGGTGATAACTGCCTAAGATCGTCGAAGTTTCGAAATTTTAGACAGGTATATGGTAAGCATTCAGTGTCACTGACCTCCATGACATAGATGTTATAGCCTTCTGAGCATTTTTGTTCACGAGAATTTAATTCTGCCTTGCCTTGATTACATGAATAGAAACCACCAAAAAAGGAGAATGCTTTAGTATCAATGATGGAGTGTGGGTGTGGGTTGTATCTTTGATTTGTCTATACGCACATCCACACTCACACCCTTCAAAAGTTTCATTTCTGCGCTGTTCGATCATCAATCGATTAAGAACCCTACAATGAATATCTTGTGTTCAAAAAGGCTCGACAAAACATCCCAGACCCTTGTCTTATTCTTTGGCAACGATACAGTATGTGTTTTGCATCACATCAGTGATTCGCAGAAAGAGCGAGAAAAAAAGTGAATAAATGCACATGCTTTTTTTTCTTCTTTCGTGGATAGTCCATATCTTTGCACACAGCATACTTTAATGGCAACCTTCACTTGCATAGTAAATATTTAACAGGAAAATAGAGAATAGAGCACTTTGTTGGCTGTCATTAGTGATTTTTCTCCAACTTACAAGAGAAACAACACAAAGTCAGTACACAGGTAAAGTAACACTGAATCAGCAAGCGTTGATGCTCATGTGATGACGTTTGCGACACTTTCTAAGCGAATTTCTCAGATATTACTATGTAGCGCAACCAACAATAGTATGATTATACAGTCTGAAATATCTTCTACATTAAAAAATATGAGTTCCGTACTAAACCTTCATAACTTCGTACCAGGCTTCGAAATTGGGACAATTTTTTTGGCTCGATCCGGCATAGACAACTCATTGCAGTCTTTTTTATCCAACTCGTAAGCGATTTATAAAGTGGGACCAATTAAAAGTGCTTTCTATAATCGATTAAAATCGAAGGAAATTTATCTTTAAAACTTAAAAATCAAAGGACAAGAGCGGATAAGACCATTTTTTCGATCCACCTCAGAATGCATTTATTTCTATTGCATTAGAATAAGGGATCATTCCTGATCACATTTTTCAACTTTATTCGCAAAAAACTGACATGGACGATTTTGGTTCCTGGGGTCCCCCACGGGTATCATGAAAAAAAATTCTTTTTTTAAAAATCAAACCTAGATGTGCTTGTAGATTCAGGAGTGCTGATTACAAATGTTATTATAAGAGCTATCAAAACTCTTATATTCCTTCAATGGTCCTAACAACTCTGTAGACCCTATTTTTCATTGTTGAGGTCTTCAGAAAATAGTCGTTCGTTAAAGGACGGGGGCACATAAAACTACAAATCGGCTCATTAGGAATTTTTCGGGATAACCCTATTGAATCATACATCATTCAATAGAGCATGTTAAAATGAACATTTTGATGCTATTTTCATGGGATTTCGATCGAAGTTTTGAAGCGAAAAGCTATTCACAAAGTTACTCATTTTTGGGCACTAATCCAATAATCGACCATATCGATGGTGGACCCAATTTCGGTGTAAGTTGATATGGAAAAATGGTTGTGAAATTAAGTATTTGATAGCTTCTTGATAGGACTTTAGTCCTATATAAGAATTAATAGTTCATTGTTCGATTCAGTCAGAACAAGACCTCGTATATTATTAGACACTGTTGACATATGTCCTGTATTTATCACTAACTTTTATCTGTCAACGAATCTTTTATCGAACAAATGAAAGGTACCAAAATTCTGGTATAGCTCATTCGATAGCGCTTTTCAAAAGCTACAAAATCGTATGTATTCCAAAGTCTAAAAAATATGGCCACTAGGAAAATTTCCAACCAAAACATGCTAGGGGTATGGTTTATGATCATTTTTGACTAATGATGTGCCTTTGTTTTTTGAAAAAGTTCTAGTATGAGTCAAAACTAATATCAGATTCGGATTCAGCACTGAAAACTGAGTGGACTTATATATACCCCAAATCTCTCTGACGACTTTCATTTTTCTCGAAAAATTCACCAGTGCCCCCACCCCCTCAAGGTACTTTTGAACAATTTTTCCCTGAGGGGTGATACGGGTGAATTTTTCGAGAAAAATGAAAGTCATCGGAGAGATTTCGGTGTGGGTGTGTGGTGTGGGTGAGAATGAAGAGAAGACAATACCCTCACTCACACCCACACACAACACCCTCCCACACCCCACACCCATTCACACCCACACTCACACCCACCCACACCCTAAGGTACGGTAGTCTCAAGTGTTATGTGCAATTAGACACATCATTCGACTCTAAATAACTTACTATTACAGAGTTACTGAATTAAGGAAAAATTTTTTTTCATAGTAATCGTAGTAATTTTTTCTTTTTACTTGGCATAACGCAAAACTACAATTTTCTCAATCGGGCTTGCTTACGATCCCCCCATCCCTCTAGCTTTATCCGATTGGGCTGAGATTTTTACCACAGATACTTGGAAGTATTCTCCAGAGATAGAATTAACCGTTTCCATATTGAACCTTCCTATTCGGATCTATGGGGTTGTGAACGTCAAGACCGGGATTTTGGCTCTGAACCTGTCCGTATTTTTCTCGTTAGAAGAAAAAGAAAGCGAGATTTTTAAGAAAGCTCAAATCTACCTCTGAGATATAGCCATAGATATCTCCAAAAAAATTTTCAGGCAAATCGAATGAAATTTAATGGGAGTCGTACCGTGGGCCGATGCGGACCTATGGAAAACTAGAGTTTTCCCAAAGAAATCGCAAAAACCTTTTTTAAAATTTTTTCCCTCGAATGCGGATAAGCTTCTTTTAGATACTCTAACTGTGATAAAAACTTCAAGCGAATCAGTTATATCTTCTTCGAGAACCAGAAATGGTCAAAAAAGAGAGGGAGAGTGTACCCTTAATGAGTAAAATTGTTTGATTTGTAAAATAGTTTCTCTTTTGAGTTAAACTAGATGAGTAAGTATTTCAATGGTCTATTTTATCTAAGAGTAATTTTCAGAAAGCCTTGACATAAGATATTGTGCAAGAAAGTAACTGTAGTTATATTTAGCATGTAAAAATGATTGTATAAAAAGTGTTTTCTTTTTATCTGATTGAACTCGGTGATTTAAATGTCAACGAGCGTGATTGTTATGGACAGACACAAACATTTTATACTAATGCTAGTAATGATTATGATCTTGTTTAATATCTGATCTCTTGTGATGCAGAAATTAATATTTGTGATGATCGAAATTATTTACCAATTCATATTGGTCTACTTTTCTCAGAAACTAATCAAGATTATAACATAAATCTCATTGATCTATATATGATCAAAATAATGAAAGTAAAATGATGCCATTAATATTAGCATGTATGCAAGATAAATTTAATATTGTTCAACATTTAATATTAAGTTATCAGATAAATCTAGTGGCCAAAAGTTCAAATGGACATACAGCTTTATATTATGATTGTCTATCAAAATGTTCAAATAATATAGAAATTATTCAATTTTTAATGAAAAATGGATTTACACTTGAAAAGGCACATGAACCAAAGGTACATTTTTATTTACAATTAATCAATATGGTGATTGACAAGCAATGATGTATTTTATTGATTATTGGCTTGTAAGTAAATATTGATTTATTTTCGTCTGATTTAATATATAATTCTATGTTTTTTTTGTGAGAAAACTAATCCTGATATTAATAAGTTACATCATGGTGCCACACTTCTTGATCTTTTTTACGATCGTACACAATTATATCATCATTATCTTGATATTCAATATCTTCGCCATTTATAAGAATGAGCTACGAGTTTTTATTCATCAGTAAGGGTGGCACATTACTGATTATTTTTTATTACTATTACTCGGTAATTGCTAATAATAATTATTACTTTATTACTTATTACCAGTAATAAAAGTAATTAGTAATAAACGAATAAGTAATAACGAGTATTAATTATTATTGTAATAAAGTAATAATACAACAATCAATGCAATATAACATCGATAGTAGGGATGTAACAATACCAATATGATCAATACCAATATCAAATGGTCTTGACCAGCATTGGTATTGATATTGTATGAAGACATCTCTGAATCCTCAAGTCTTACTGTTTAGAGGTATGGATGTAACAATAGGGGTGAGGACCTAAGAGTACTCCCATATGAGAAGACTTGAGGATCTATGGGTACCCTCATATGATAGGACTTGAGAGCCTATGGGTACATGTATAGAAAGTTTAAGTCCATGTTCTTTTGATCCTGTCTACAAATACAGACGCCCACACACAGATACAAAGTCATTTTTTTCAAATGATCCTCCCTCCAGTGGAGGAAATTTCGATTGACCTGCATAATAATCTGGTTTTAATTAGAAAAATTTTCACTGTACAAACAATAGTATCGAGTTTTGATCCAATCGTAGTCGACTATAATCAAAGATTTTGAATCGATTTTAATTCTGATTTTGGTGTAAAATAATCTTGATTACATTGTGAAAATTATTCACTGAAAATTGTGGAAACACAATTGTGGCAAATAAGATCCTACCGTATTCACCAACTTTTCTCGGCTATATTACAGTTTTTACAAAGCCGACATATCATGTGTTTATGAGTAAACATGTATTTGGAAGAACAAGAACGACAAAAGTATTATTCACGAATGCAAGAAAGGTATGAATCTCTAGTATGACGAACTAATCCAATAATAGTCGATCTATAAAAAACGGAATGAAGAATGCGTGACGTGCACCATATTTTTTGTACTCCTCCCAGCAATAGGTGACTAAGACCTTTTCAGGATCGCTCAGATATTTGCTTCCATCACTCTCAGCATCAATTTGGTTCGTACCATTCAGCGAAACACTACTAAATCTTAGTTCTCCAAGAAGATAAGAAAATCCACCACATGCAATGCGATTCTGATCAGGTCCAATACCTGTGACGCTTTTCAAGAGGTAGTCATGCACAGTTCCTTGTCCTACTGGTTTATAGAACTCTTCTGGCCATTCGTCTGTACATTGTATAATGATGTAAAAACTTCTTTCTCTGCGCCCATAAGCTCTTCCGCCCTCTATCCATTATAAGAAAGAATAAAACGGATTCATATAAATAAATGCGCCTCTCCTGAATATACTGTCTTCTATGCTCACCATTGTTCTCCCATTCGAATTTTCCATCGATGGCGTAGATAATAACACCAGCATAATTACGTAATGGGTTGAAGTTATCTGAAAACACTGATACTTCACAACTCACAGTTCCGTGTTCTCTTCTGATACGTCGATAAAGATCTTTGAAGTGATATTTGCCCATCTAAAATAACAGCAGTATTTCTACTTAACCTGGTTTTGTTTTTGGAGGAGACATTTTTTGTGTCAAAAGATGTTTCCATTTATGTGGCAATTGACAGCAAAAGAATATCGAAATCAATGAGTGGACATAGTATGTGCTTATTGGGGCGAAAAAGATCATGAGTACATCTCAAATCTAAAACCATTCTAGAAGGAACTAAGTGAAAGGCTTCATATCATCTTAGTATTAAATCTCCTGTTCAAATTTATATGATTCGATGTTCATTGGCTCTTTTTCGCTAGAAAGTAGAGTCTTCTGAAATCATATTTTACGAAGTATTGTGCATAACAACAGGAATTGCTAAAGATCCCGGTATTACCACACTTATTAATAAATTAAATCCACTTAACACTGCTGGAACAATCTTTTAACACAGTCATTTCACGTCGAAACTATGTAACAAGAACAACAAGAAATATTACGCCTTTATGTATCTCTTAGCGCTGAGCGAATTAGAGACAGTTTCCGAATGCGCAGTTTTCATGCGAAAATGCGATTAACTTGAGATGTATCCACGGTAAAAGTTTCGTCAAACAATTGCATTGTTACAATGAGAAAATCATAAAAACCACTAAATTGCTCATTTCTTGGTATATTAAACTTCCTAGATCGAGCAATCAAATAGCAAGATCAGCTATGAATTCATACATGACTATATTGGATTTAATATCAGACTCGTATATGTTCACATCAGATCATACAAAAAAACATAGAGAGATCGTCGTTTCTCAGATCTGATATGATTTTCAGTGGTAAGATTCTTCTATGATCAAACAATATGATCTGACGTCACGATATAGAATCATATCGTAATATTTCTCTTGATACACTCAGATACATACATAGCTGGTAATTATCACCCGTCTTCATCAATTATACTTCAATCAAACCTTAAACAACCATATAAATCTGACGTAAAAACACAAATCTAGAAGTACCCACACCCTAATCCCACGGAGTACCGAGGACTCTCATAACTACCTCAGCGGTACCTAGGACTCACTTCTAAGTAGCCTAAGAGTACCTAGGAGTCATGGCACGATAGAGAAGATCAAAGTGACAGAACGCGTGCTCAATCGATCTCTCCGATTTCGATGAAACCTTCCCTGTGTGTATTCTGTAGTGATGTATGAAAGAGAATAAAATATTTTCTTCTAGAAACGTTCTCATATTAGAACATTGGAATCACAATGAACCTACCATCAGCCCAAAAGCGGTCATGCCGAATGAAGTACCCATTCTCTGCGTATTTTACCATTCATGAAAAATAATATTTTTAGTCATGGAGCTTTGTGAGCACACACTACTATGAGTATCTTACATAGTCAGATACTGAAAATCTTCTTACAGTGTATTGACTGATGTAGAGATTTTTTTTTCATGGTCCTAATACTACTGCTTATGTTGTGATAGGGATTTCTCCTCCTTATCAGCTCGCGCCTTGAAGCCAAGTGCTACTACCTGCCAACTAATATCAACAATTTTCGAAACTCTGGGTACTTGATTTTTCGCTCCAACGAAAACTGTTTTTGATAAAGATTTATTAAATTTTTCTTATCAGAAAATATTCTTTGCTTAGACGAAAATTTTCTTTACTCATTTTTTCTTATACTCAACAAAAATAATTGATAGCTACATACCAAAGTCTATTAATTGAATGGTCAGCAAGCGAAAACACTGAGCTAGGGATAGGAAGACGAATGAATAGATTTTGTACAATACAGTAGAAGACAAAAGTCTCCCCTGGTAGAGCTTTCTATAAAGCTGGTATATATAGGTAGCATTTCTTAGTCTGTTATTAATAATAGTGTTCATGCAATTCCATATTGTTGCTAATCATTAGTCATAACATATTCTGGACATATGTCCTTACCAGTGTACCGAAGATACGAAATTTTCCTTTGGGTGTGGGTGTGGGATAAGAATACATCCATACATACACACCCACCCTTTTTGCACTGCTTATAATTTTGAAATATATCCACTGAGTTGTCGTAAGACATTGATTAGAAGCAAAACAACTGTGGAGTTCCGCGAATTTTTCGTTTTTTCCTGCAAGATTAATTGCTTTTACTAATATAGAGCAAAAATTCACTTAGAAATAAAAGTATAAGATTGGTGCTGATGATTGGTTTGCAGATATAGCTTGATTCCTAAATTATTAAGACAAGTGAATGTGTACCAGAAACCTGATAATGACGATGTACTTTCCGATATCAGCTAAAAGTCTGAAATAGAAAAATATCAAATATAGAGATTTGTATAAACACTCTTATATAGACAACCGTATCAAGAAAAGAAGCTTTTAGCGCGATTCTTGTTGGTTTAAAATAGGAGACACGATGCAACTGTAGTTACATCACACAAGTATTGTTTTCTTCGATATACTTTGGAAGTCAGCTGTCATTTTCCCCTTATCTGTCATAACTGTAATTAGACAATAATTAATATATACTTGTGAAATTCCAGAGATATAAAATCGTAAATCGTGTATCAAAAGCCCGATACACCCCACCTGGGTACAGGTTTTCTTTGTCGAGCTGTCTGAAAACGTGCAAATTTTTAATCATAAACAGTTAAATACCCATTTCTGATTGTGCTTCAAAATAATGCTTTTCAATCCTCTGAAATACTTTTGGTTATGCAAAACGAGAATTGAGTAGAAGTGTATGCGTTGGGAAATTTCTGAGGAACAAAAAGAGAGAAAACCGAATGAAACTGACATCGCTGAAAGAGTTCTCTGAAAGAGCTTGTTAACACAGCCCCTTTGTGACTAACATGTGGAACTCAGGTATGCCCTTTAACTTCATTAAAATAATGTAGGGTACACAGCCCCTGTTCATAGAGGACTCTGAGAAAGAATTGTCAAGTTTGTTGTGTATGCTTATTTAAATCTGTAACGGGATCTATCTGTAATTAGATGAAGCTGGAGAACCCACTTTGCTAAAGCTTATGTTCATTTTTGTTTTCTTTCAAGTAAAAACTAGTTCTTTAATATAGAATAAGAAATTTTAACACATGGAATACGGAGCAACATTAAATATTAAATAATGCTTCTATACAACAGTGGAAGTAAAGTCATCACTTAATGCCTGTGATGGTAAGAAGAGGGACCCGCAAAAAACTCGCTCTTAAACTTGCACTCATTATTTTTTTCGTAAGACATGAATGAATTCCACAAAATTTATGTCGCAGAAAATGAAAACTATGCGAGCTGGAGTCTTTTTTACGAAGGAGAAATGTAAATATACAATAATGGTGTTTTCATCAGAATGTTTTTTTCCAAAAAAATAACGTGTAAACTTCTGTAAAATAAATGGCAATAGCGTCATTAGAAGAATTTTCTTAGACATCAACCATGAGAAACGATAGAAAGGATCTGTATTGCAACATGCGACGCAAAATTAAAGATGAAAAGTGCGTAAAAGCATCTGCGTT